GTAACGCTAGTAACGCCACTACAGCTGCTGCTGCTGCTACCGCTCCTCCTATTGTCATTCACGTCGTAAGAGAACAGTTTCCTGAAATGTATGCCAGTTAGTTGAGTTGTTGGATGATTTTGTTGTTGTTTTTGATATTTTTAACAATTTTTAGGAAAAAGAGAGAGAGAGAGAGAGAAAGAGAGAGAGAGAGAGAGAAAGAGAGAGGAGAAAGAGATATTAACATTAAAAAAATAGCCTCAAAATTCCACTAAATAAAGAAAATTTCCAAAGACGCTAAACATTTCAGAAATTTTGTATCGTCTCATTAAGGCTCACTCATTTATTTTTAGGTGTCAAAATATTTATTATCTATTTTATTACATTTATTATTATTAATTAGTTAGTTAGTTGGTTAATTAATCTATAAACCAATTAATTTATTTTTATTTACGAGAAAACAAATTAAAATTTGAAATTAAAATAAATGCGCGAATTAATTTGAGTCTGGCTATTGTTGGCTATTGCTGGCTATATAAATATCTAATAAGCATTCATTATTATTATCATATTTATTATTGTTTTTATGTTTTTATTGTTACCTGAGACTTAGATGCAAAGCTTTTAACGCTTCTTTCAATGCTTCTCTATTTCTGTCCTATCTGCTATTCGCTAAAGTCATCATCGTCATCATCATCAACGACAACGTCATCATCATCGTCGTCTTCGTCATCTTTGCCATTGCATTAACTACTACCAACTGCCTGCCAACCAGCCAACCAACCAACTATCTGCTCAATACTTTGACCAATTAAAAATCTAACCAACCAACCAACCAATCAACTAACCAACCAACCAACCAATCAACCAATCAGCTAACCAACCAACCAACCAATCACAAACAGTCTTTCAGAACGTCAACGTGATGGTGTTTGTTGGACTTGGATTCCTGGCTACCTTCCTCAAGAGGTACAGCTACAGTGGCATCACATTCAACCTCTTGCTGGGTGCCATTGTGATCCAATGGGCGGTATTAACCAATGGGTGGATTCTAAATTTTAAAGATGGCA